TGCAAAATCATATGTCCAGAGCCGCATGGTAAAAGCTGGATGCAAATGCTCTGGGGAGGGTTGTGCTTTGCTTAGAAACACCAGCTGCAAGAGGGTATGCAGTAGGGTCTGTCCGTCTGTCTGTCCGTATGCCCCTTGACTTTCTGGAGCAGCTCCTGGCCAAAGCAGGGCAGCAAAGGGCTTGGGTTGTGCCAGCTGCTTGCTGCCCCCCCAGCCGCATCCTGGGTGGGTGCAGCCCCCGGTGGGATTAAACACTTGCCCCGTCGCAAATTAATCCTGACACGCCAAGGTGGCAATTAAACTGCAGGCATTGCGCCACACTGCCGTGCTGGCCGGGCGGCCGGGACGGGTGATGCCGCCGCTGCTGTGTCGGGGATTTGCAGCCAGGAGAAAATGCTGTCGTTGGGAGGAAATGAAAAAAAACCCACCCAAAATTGGGGTTGCTCAATCATTGCCGGGAGCTGCGGTGTGGCTAACCGGCTGCTGCACGGGACTGAGCATTGGCACCCCTGGTTTGCTCATTTTGCAAGATTTACTGCTGTTTTTATAAGCAGCTGCCTCCCCAGTGTGTTGAAGGGTGCCACGAGGCTGAGGATGATCCCCCAAATTCGCTTTGCTTTTGATGCTGGCCCAAAGCTGCTGCGACATCCCATTGGAAAAGCTGGCAGCACGCAGTGGCCCAGCAAAGCCGGCCTTTGCTGGGCTTAAAAAATCATTTCTAAAACCCAACAACCCTGCCACCATTGCGAAAGCTGATGGTGAATCACGGCAGGAGGGCGAGGAACATCGCCCTCGGCTCGCAGGGCAGGGCTGGGGTCAGGGTGCTGGTGGGTGCTAGGTTGGTGTGGTGCAGGAGCTGGTCTCGGGGTGCCCCGGGGGCTGACAGTCTCCTCTCCCCCTCCCTGCAGCCGCAGCCAGCCCCCTTCACGAGTGTGGTGAGCGGCCAGAGGACTGGTGCCGCGATGTGGCAACGGCGGCCAAGTGCGGGGCGCTGGAGCTCTGTCGGATCACTGTCTGGGACCAGGCCCTGGGGGTAACCACACTGGGAGCGGGGGGATGCGGGGTGATGGAGGGATGCACACATCCTGCCCCAAAACGTGAGGCTGGGGGGAGAATCCCAGCCTGGCCACTCTGATGCTGGGCACCCAGAGGAGCATCCACTGATGCTCTCAAGCAGCAACATGTAAGCCAGCAAGGCTGCCTAACTGGGGGGCTCACAGAGGACTGGGAGTCTACAGGGTGAGTGGCAAAAATGAGTGGGTACCCCAGGATATTTCCAAGTGCCCCTTGGTGGGTCGTTTTTTTGGTGGAGGGGTGGGATTTGGGGGAGCAAGCAGAGGGGTCTGAGTGCCATGGCAGCATCCCGACGTGTCCCCTCTCTCAGCAGAAGGGGATCCCGTGTCACCTGTGCCAGATGGCGGTCTCTGTGGTGGGCAAGATCCTGCAGGACAACCGTACCGAGGTGGGTTATGGCCGGGGGAGTGCGGGGCTGGTGTGTCCCTCTCTACACCACAGGGCCAGCCCAGCCCTGAGCTCTCTCTTTGCCACCTAGGAAAAGCTGCGGCTCTTCTTGGATAAGAAATGCCAGTACCTGCCATTCCAGGACTGGTCCGTCAAGTGTAAGAAGATGGTGGACACTGGCATCCTCATCCTTGTCCAGCTGGGCAAGCAAGTGCTGGTAACTGGTGGGGGGAAACCCTCCTTGCGTTTGCGTTTCTCCATGGTTTGTGATGCCTTGGGGGATTGCAGGGCAAGGGAGGCTCTTGGAGCCTGGGACAAGACCTTTGCAAGATGGAGATGGGGATGGAAATGACCCAGGGATGGTGGGAGGAGCGGGGCGTTGGGGCAGATGCAGCCCCAAGCCCCCACCCCTCTGCTCCCACAGTCAGACCCAAAGGTGGTGTGTGGGACCATCAAGCTGTGCCAGTCCTGGGAGAGCCCCACGGGGGCCCTGAAGTTCCAGAAGCCGCCACCAGCCCCCATGGACCCTGCTCAGGACTTCGCCAACCTGGTCTCCCCCTTCATCGCCAACGTGCCCCTCCTGCTCCATCCCCAGGACCCGCCTCACGACGAGGCCCAGGTACTGCGGCACAGGCATCAATGCCATTGATGTGGCTCAAAGGCGAGAATCACCTAAGCATCACCTATTTAACAATAATTAAAAAAAAACCAAACCAAAAAACTGCATTAGGGGTGTCACCGATTTGGGGCTGGGATATTGCAGGACCCAGGGTTGGACCAGAAAGGTGCTGGCCACAAAGCTGCCACAGATTGTTACCGGCATTTAAATCCCAGCCCTGCAAATCCAGGCGTGGGGAGGGTCAGTTTTATTTGGGGGGATACTGATGTGTCCCTGCCCGTGTTGTCCCGCAGCAGATGGAAGAGGTGTGTGGAGACTGCCTGCAGTTGGTGGCGGCTGTGCAGCTGGAGCTGGGGACCGATGCCACCTTCGCCCAAGTGCTGGTGGCCCACGCCGAGCGGGTGTGCGAGGGCCTGGCTCCTGACCTGGCACCCTGGGTAAGGGTGCCAGCATCCTGCTGGGCTCCCCCCACCTCCCCGATGTCACCGTGGCATGGGAGCATCTCTTGTGGCTGCCTGCTTTCAAGCAGTGCCCAGGGGGGCTGGGTGGTGGGGTGTTCCCCGTCGGGCGCTGACACCGTGTCTCCCTGCACAGTGCAAGCGCTATCTGATTGAGTATGCAGACACGGCTGCCCAACTGCTCCGGCACTTGGTAAGCGGGTGAGCGGTTCCCCGGGGCTGCTGGGGGCTGGTGGGCACCAGTGGGATGGCCAAGCAGCACAGACGAGGCGACCTCATCGGCAGAAGTGGGGCCCTGCTCTCGTTTTTTTTAATTAATCCTGCTGCTTTATATTGCTATAAACTTTTAAATATTTTTTTCCCCTCTCTCTCGGCTTGCAACTGCTATAATTCTTTTTTATTTATATTTTTTTCTTGCCATTTTCCGGCCCCTCCACTGGCAGCAGGCTGAGGTAAGTGAGACCCACACCCTGATGGGCTGAAATCGCCCTCCGGGGGGAAGAGGGGGGCGCAGGCTCACCCTCCCAGGGCGTGATGCCCACCTGGTTCAGGACATCTCACTCCCCAGGACCCGATGGAGCTGTGTGGCCACCTGGGACTCTGCTCCTCTGCCTCGGCGGTGCCCCTCCACACGCTGCTCACAGAGAAGGCGATGCAGGTCCTGAGCACGCTGGGGGTAAGCAGGGATCCCCCACTCCGCTGCACTCCTTAAAATCCAAACCCTGGGAAGGGAGAGCCATATTTTGCTTTTTTTCCCTCAAGCATCTAATTTTTCCAAAGTGGGGAATGTCTTTCGTGGGGGTCGATGGCTGGGTGGGATAGGGGCCACTCTGGGGGTGCTCGGCATGCATCCCACCGCCTTGTCTGAACAGGATGGGGAGGGGACCACACCGCTGTGCGAGATGTGCCAGTTCGCTGTGAAGGCGGCTGAGAGCCTCCTGGAGAACAACGTGACGGAGGTGAGCCCCGCCGCTGCGGTCTGGGGATGGAGGGGCCGGGGGAGGGTGGCAAGGGGAGTTTCCCATCCCTCCGCCTGCCTTCTCCTGGCAGGAGCAACTGGTGAACGACATCGAGAAGGTGTGCTACATGTTGCCCCATGGCATCATCGGGCAGTGCAAGGACTTTGTTGACTCCTATGGCAAAGCCGTGGTCATCATGCTGCTGGAGGCCACCGACCCAGCGGCCATCTGCACCATGCTGCACTGCTGCCCCCGGAGTGGGGACGCCCACCGAGGTGAGCCGGGGGGACCCGGGTGGCACCCAGACACCGGGTCACCAGGGAGCAGGATGACGGGGGGGTGCTAACAGCCCCCCCGTGTCCCGCAGAGGCCGCTGCGCTGGAGCAGTTGGCGGTTGGTGTGGGTGCCTTCTGCAACGTCTGCCAGATCGTCATCACCTACTTCGATAACGAGCTGCTGAAGAACGAGACGCTGGCGGAGCTGGGCAATGTGCTGGAGAAGGGCTGCGAGCTGCTGCCCACGCCGCTCACCAGCAAGGTGAGCTGGGCGGGGAGCATCTAGCCCAGCGGGGACCCCCGACCCCCCTGCGCCGGGCTCACCTCCTCTCTCCTTCCCAGTGCGAGGCACTTGTGGTGCAGTATGAGCCGGAGGCCGTGCGGCTCCTCGTGCAGATGATGGACCCCACCTTCATCTGCACCGTAAGTGTCCCCGTGCCATGGGCACGGCACCCGCTCCCTGGGGCAGTCTGGACCGAGATGAGCATTTTCCAGCCAAGCCTGGGGGGGCTGGTAGAGGGGCAGTGGGGTCAAAGGGTGCTCATGTTTTTTTTTTCTCCCCCCCCTCCTTTTTCCTTCACAATGCAGAAAATAAGAGCCTGTGATTCAGCAGAGGAGGATCTCCTGGACTCAGATCCCTGCGCCTGGGGCCCGCACTACTGGTGCAAGAACATGGCCACGGCTGTCGAGTGCCACGTAAGTGTCAGCCACGTCCCCTCCCCTGGGTCGGCAGGGTGCTGGGGGTCCCTGCCTCCCCTGCCATCCCTCCCTGTCTCTCCCGCAGGCCGTTGAGCATTGCCGTCGTCACCTATGGAACTAGGAGCCACCTTCCCGGCCGGACAGACTTGGCCCGCCATTTTGGTTCAGGATCCCAGACCCTCTCCCTTGGGATGCGCCTGCACCCACAGACGGCGATGGCAGGAGCCCACCGGCCTCACCACCCTGGCGGGGGCTGTAGGGAGTCCCAGCCACCTCTGCTGCTTCCTTTTCCACCCCTGGGGCTTGGATTTCCAAATCAGGTTAAGGGACTTGTTAGTATTTTCAGGACTGGGGATTCAGCCTTGATGTCTCTCAGGGCAACTGCAAAATCCCTGTCCCCACCCCTGTCTCCATCCTCACCCATATCCCCATCCTCATCCCCCTCCCCATCCCCATCCCACCCTGAACTGCTTGTAAAGCCCAGATCCTGCAACGTGGATCTGTCCCTGTGGGCTGGGACAGTTTCTGCTGCCCAAATGCCAGCCCCCTGCTCCTGGCCGCTGGCAGCCTCGCACCGCAGGTCTCATTGGCTTTTGGCAAGCCCAGCGCTTTGCTGGTCCCTCTTCAAATTGGGGTGGCTTTTTATTTTATTTTTTTTCTTCCTGGTCACCAGTTAAAGAAACAAAGTGGATTAACTTTACCTGCAATGCCCAGCTTTGCATGACATTTGCAGTACACTAATTTTGTGTCCAGATGATTGCTGGAGATAGCTATATATATTTTAAGTATCCCCTAAACAAAAAAATGAGTGAGTTTGGGGGCAAAGATTTCCTTTCATGTACACATCCCTGCCGGGGGGGTCCAGTGCCAACCCGGGCACGGTGGCGAGGGGCAGCGAGGCGCTGGCTCGTCCCTCCCCACCGCGGGAGGGGAGACACCCACAGTGCCTGGTCCCGAGTGTGCACGGGAGCATCTCACCACAAATAAACTCCTCCCGTGAGCCCAGCTGGTTGTCTCCCTCCTCCTTGTCCTGGGGTGCCAGGGGGGTGGCAAGGTGGGGGGCAAACCTAGGGGAGGTTTAATGCTTTCCCCAAAATCTGGGCTGCAACACCCAGGGTGGCATCTCGTGAAGGTGATGGATGGAGGGGTGAATTAAGGGAAACGGGGGGGGTTTCTCTTCAAAAGGCGGTTTGGGTATGATGAATCTGGTGCGGCACGGCTGGGGAGGAAGGACGACAGACAGGTTACCCAAAGCCATAGACAGTGTATTTCTGAGTCCCGTAACAGACCGTGCCCGAAACTCTCCACAAGGTTACGATTGGAAACAAACCCCAAACGAACAAACCCAAAAGCAAGAGAGAAGGGGAAAGAAAAGGGCATAAAAGACACGCACGAGCACTCCACATCCAGAAGCCCCAATTATTGTCAGTCTCTCTCTTTTTCAACATCGCAACATGTTTTGGTAAAGCCAGCAAAATGGAGAAATGTCTTCGTTTTTTGGTCTTTCCTTGCCGGAAAGGTGACATTAATGCCAAAAGGACTCGGCCTCTCCCTGCGCTGCCCCAGCCCTCCCTGTGCCTGTGGTCAAGGTGTGATGGCTGCTTGTCCCCAGCCTGCGCCTGGGAATGCTGCGGTGGCACATCGTCCGCACCTTTGCTGCGCCTTCACCCCTGTCCAGCCTGGACTCATTGGATTCGTTTAGCCTTTC